CCAGGTGACAGTTTTAGCTTCCTTCAGAAAGTAAGGAAATTAAAGCAATTGTCTTTAATTGTGTGTTTGTTCATCCGAGTACTTCCCCTACCCCAACCCTGCAAACTTATTGGCAGTTTTCAGTTAAGTTTAACAGAAGCCTCAAAGATGAGTAAGTCCGTGTAAGTCTCTTGACGCAATAGGTGGATAAACAGAAAAAAACCAAAACATAAAAATTCCCTGGAAGGAGAATGATGTACTATTACTCCCTTACCTGCCGTTTGTCAGCAGCAGGTAGTCTGGTCTGCAGCTACAGCCGGGTTGCGCTGCGCTGGGCCAGCAGCTCCTGGGGCCTCTCCCGGGTGGGTCAAGTAGCCTTTGGCTGCTCCCCGCCTCTCCCCTCCAGGCCAGCTATCTTAATAGCCGTTTCTCAAATCTTTAAAGGAAACCACAAATATTACACCTTTGTTCTTTCATCTCTCTGTCCCAACAGTTTCATTTTTGCTTCCTCTTCTTCTTACGGTGCTGGACAGGCTAACTTTTCGTGCCGGCACGCCTGTAAGGCCTCCCTCGCTACAGCACATATATGGCAGACCATCTACTTGGAATATATTCTGAATACTGCCAGTACAAAACTTAATTTGTCCCCTTAGTCCTAGGAGGTCTTGAAGCCCTCTAGATCTTTGCAAGCACAAGGCAGAGCAATGTATGGCGTGGGCTGCTACCATCTGTCAGATAAGATGCTGGGTTTCAAGATGAAACCATCCCTCTTCAGAGGCCTGTGGACTGGGAAACAGGGCAGCACCCTCTGGAAGATACATATCAAATATAGTTTATTACCAAAGGTAAATGTAGTTCATTCCTTAACGCAGCACAAGACCTAGCAATTTTTAAGAAGGTAGGCACCAGAATTAGACCATCTAAACTTTCCCCGTTTCCTGGACACGCGTATTTGTACAACATGTCAGGCTGGGGACTGCGGCATTTTTCCTCCTCTTCCCTTACATCCAAAATGTAATACAAAGCCAGGTGGAATTAAACTCAATTTACAGTAGCGGCTTAGGTTTTGGCATGATGCCATGTGTTTTTTTCAGCTGACAGGGGAATCATGCCGTCTTCTAAACTTCGTTTTACCTGAGCACCTCAGGGTAAGGAAAAACGTGACGAAAGGCTGGCCGGGTCCTGGTGACAGGAGCCATCTCCTGCCCTGCCTCACTCTCCAACTTGCAACATATGCAAACCCACTACTTGCAAGCTGGCTTCCATTTTATCCCGCGGGGCTTCCCTGGGGGACAAAGCCAATGCTGCCAAATTCACATTTGGGCAAACTTCTCCAACCCCAAATGAAGGATCCACCTTTTAGTTATTAAACATGATCTGAATTTTTTATCTGCTCACCTACATGTGAGCACAGTAAGGAACTTTGTATTTTTGTTGCCAGAAGTTATGAGATCACGAGGATCACAATGTTCCTCCTTGCTTACAGTCACGATGGATCACACCTACTGTCTGTCAAAGTCCTGTTGACATGTATTTATCCTGACTTGTCTAAAGTTTCCACTTCATGTGTATAAAGAGCAGCAAGAGATCCCTTCAGAGATTAAATATGATGGCCCGTTGGATTTATTTGCACCCCAGGGGACATAATTTGGGGGGAGATTCCTACAAGTAGCACATTCGGTTATTTCTACCTTCCCATGATACCGGTCGCTGCTTCTGCTAGCTCTCTGAAATGTTCTTTCCTAAGGTAGTAGGAGAGGGAAGACTGAGAGAGGGAGAGAGGGAGACAGAAACACACAACAAAGGACAATTACTTCCCAGAAATTATTGAAATCTCATCTCTTCCTGCTTGTCTCCCTAATTCTTCTTTCAGAGAAGAAAACACTTCCATACTGTAGACAGTATGTCTTCGTATATTATTTCTCTAGTTTCTGTTTTAAAATGGGCCAGACAGCATACGAAGAGGATTTGGTTCCCAAATCTTTTGCCACTTTGCCTCTGCTACGTGGAGCCACAAGGAAACAGTATTTTTCCAAGAACAACGTGAGAATAGAAGATTACAAGAAAAATTACTGTTGGGGTATCCTCTTTAATTCCCTCCGGATTTATACAACCACTTCAGTGAGAATAAAACCAAAAGCAAAGGTATATCACTAAAAGGAAAATGTAGCAACTATACGTATTAGTACACTTTGGGGAACATGCACAAAGAACGTACGTGTGTCTCCAAAACTGGTTATCGTATGAAATCTTTTGTCCCAACAAAGCCTAGGGAGCTCAGACCCCTCTTTTCAGGAAATATGCTTTAATCAAAACAGAAACAGCTGTATTTCACATCTCCCAGTCAATGCATATTGCTGGAAAAATCAACAGATACCTGTACAGAAAAATAGGCAGCCCAATATCTGAAGGTGCCAGAACTGAGACTACGCAGATGATTGAAGCTGGAATAGCCAGGGGTTTCCAATTACACATAGGTGGCTCAGAAGGCTGACAGAATGGCTTCTGATTCAGTGATAAAATCCCTCTTTCAAGCACCAAGGCCAAACATCAACTTTCTGATGTATCTCCTGAAGCATCTGTATCTCTTGGAATCCAGGGTTCTCCTGCAGTCTTCTCTGCAGAGCAGCTGCCCTCCCGCACAGTCTGTTTCCATGCATCCACAGAATAGACAAGGTATGAAAAGAGCATTGCAATGGATTTTGTGTACTGTGAAAGAGGTTATTTCAAATTCCCTCACTTCATGTACTGTTTAAAACAAGCGCCCAGAATTTTGTATGTCAGATAATTCCTTTAGGACACAAAATCCTGATTTGGGATCCTATCTGAGGGCTCTTAATTTCGAATAAACATTCTTATTTTCTCTTATGCACTCTTGCAGGTATGGAACATGACTGTTTCATTTTTTTTCTTTGCAGAAATATGACTAAATAAAGCATCCGTGGAAGTAAAATGTAAATAGCAGGAGATTTCAATGGGAAATAGACAAATTTGCATTTTTTCAAATGGTTGCATGTAAAGATATGCAACTTTCCGTAAACAACTTGGTCGCAGTACATAAAGTTCTGTGACATCATGGGAACAACTTCTGCCAGAGTTGTTTCATGCCTTTTGCCACTCTGAATTCTTAATTACATGGTGAATCAGATGTGATTTTTAGTACTAGTGTAAACAAAACAAACAGTGAAATTTTAAAACCACATTTATTTTCAATACAAAATCTGTTGCACTATTACAGAAGTGAGCCTGTATGTTTACCCCCACATGCACAGATAATTCAGCATCTACAATTAAATAAGAGTAAAATTATATTTCTCTTTTACCAAAACCATTGGCGAATCTTATTAAGAAATGTTCTCTTTGTGCTTTGTAATCAATGTTTGTAGAATTCATTTCTTATTTCGGTTCCCATTAAGAAAACCGATCAATGGAAAGCTCAAAGCTGCGAAAGAAGCTTATTACAGCTAGCTTACATTTGTGATTACTTCAGTTGTGCTTCACCTACAATATATACATGAAAGCTGCGAGGTGTACTATGGTCTAATGTAATGCACTGGCAAAAGCTCTGAATGGTTCAATTAGGAATCTGCAGTAAATAAGCAGAACAGTTCACTATTTCGTTTTCACAGCAAAAAAAAAAAAAAATTTAAGTAGATGCTTTAAAATACCATGCACACCATTGGCTACAGTACTTCTTACACAGTACAACATAAGCTTTCTTGTTTTATTTGTCTGTAACACCTAGAAGCATATAGCATCTACGCTTTAAGTGTATTTACAAATTCAACAAAATATCTACATATAAAAAGCTTACTTAAAATTAAACTTGATGCAAGTTATGAAAAACCAATTTATTGGCAAATGAAACTGAGCATTCCTTCAACCATAGGTTGTTATAAAAATTTATATTTGGAGGTAAACATTTGATTGATATAGTATGCGAGAAAATAATTTTGTAACTGATAATGGTAATCCTTTACCACTAAACCATATTAGCACTTGTCAGATTGAATTCTGTGGTTCCGAGCGGTAACCCCCACGCTGCTTCAGGGTGTAGATAATTACAAAGCTGCCACACTGATCAGGCCGGGACACAGAGGGAAATGCACTCTCGCTGGTGTAGTCGGCTGGTTTGGTTTTTTAACAATTTATTTTACAAGAGCTTATACCTTGCTGTGTTAGTAAATAATTTAATTCTGGTTGTGTTTTGTTGGGCTTTTTTACATCTTCTAAGGCCATGAAAACATGTTGTGCTGTAACTGTCTAGAAAGCATTTATTTTATTTTTAAAGGAAAAAAAAAAATCATACTCATTGTGTAATTTAAAATATTTAAAACCTTCCATTTTTAGCACAACAGTTTCATAACACTTTTTTTTTCTTCACATTTTTACTTTATTTGGCAATGATAGTAGTCCGCTAATCACAGTTTACTGCACCAACTGATTTAGTAGTACAGCGCATTATGGAATGCATATTGTATAAAGGCACTGAGTGTATTTTGCCCTGTGTTTTCTGGAATATTTTCTCTCATTTTAAAGTTTTTCTTTCAGTGACTGTACAAATTCCAAAATGCATTGCAATGCGTATCTTCTATGCTCTAAAATCAATCCAATGTGTTTTGATGTAAAAATAGAACACTGTACTGCTGTAATACTTGATAGATTAAAAAGGCTATAAAGTAATAGGAGCAAAGAGCAGATAATAGGGTCTCATTAAGCATCAGCAAATGCAAGTGTCATACTTAAATCATTTAGCAATTATATACTGTACATACTGTTCCTAACTGTCTTGCAAAAAGACATATGATAGCTAGACATTAAGTCACCAATTTCACAACAATGTCCACAAAGACATTGAAGTTCTATATAATACTACGATAACACTCTGACAATGAAAACGGAATTCATATCCAGGGATTCAGCTGAGGACTGCATAACAAATTGTCAAACCATGTTTTTATCGTGTACACGAGATTATCTGTGAATTGTGTAGCATTTTTTTTCCATGCATTATACTGTATTTTCAACAGGAAACAAAATTATAAGTCAATGTTATTGTTTGTGTCAGTTCCTTCTAAAAAAAGTAAAAATACCCAAGTTTTGAACAAAATTTGAATTTTGTGTTTTGATTCATACTAACATACCACTTAATGTGTCATTATGCTGTATAATTGTATTGATCTGCATATTCTCATAGCATAAACATCCTGTGGTGAGGAGCTCCGTTACCTGCATGTTCATAGTATGAGAAGGAGGATGTACAAGTGCTTTAAACAAACTGAAGATACAAGGGGATCAAGTTCTGTGGTTACACAAAGGAATTCATGGCATTTACAGGAGAAGGAGCCTCAGAGCTTTCATTTCCTTCAGCAGGTTCTTTCTCTTTTTTACCACTATATTGTCCAATAAAGGAGCCATCCTCATTGAACTGACCATTTACACCTTCTCCATAGTCAACTAAACTATCATCACTGTCTTCTTTTTTCACAGTTCTGTCTGAAGGTGTCCGGCTTCCTTTTTTTAGAGGTTTATGGTCCTCTGCATCACTGGAGACACAAACAAACAAACAAAAGGAATTAACTGATGTATTATATATTAAGACAAAATCAGCCATGCATGCAGAGTTTATAAAAAGCATGTGTGCAGCCGTATAATCCTTTAGTAAACCCACATCACATTGTAGAGACAGATCAATATGATGCAGTTGACATGAATACATGGCGTACGAATGGTTTACACAGAGAATGTCTTCAGTGGAGGGAGAGGGCTTTGTGGTTTCTTGTTTTTTTTTTATTTTCCCCATCGTGCATGACTTTTCAATGATAAGACTTGTGCCCTTGCCTTGGAAGCAATTTAGATGCAACTGCAAGCATTAAAAAGTAGGTTGTAAAGTTATAAAAAAAATAATTTATTTGTTCTCCAAAGTAACAAGCTTATGATGTGCTGTGAAGTTAGTCTGTTAAACTTCTTAATTTCTTTGACTCCTTGAACATGAATGAAGAATGAATTTGGTTAAATGAAATATACTGATTTTCTTTACTAGTATAAAGAAAATAAAAGTGCTGCATTTCAAATAATTTGTTACATAATGCAGGCCAGACTTGCAATTTTCAACCTTACCTTTCAAGAGACCTACATATTCCATTAAAAGGGTGCAGAAGAAACAAATGAAAATAGCCTAAGAAGAAAAGCAAAGTCCATATCCTGATAGTGATCAGTATTTTATCAATAATAATTTGCTCTTAAAATTGCTAAAACATTTACTGTATGCAGGTAAAGCAACAGTTTAGCTTACAGTAGCTACAGTTGAGCAGTTAAGAGCATGCTTGGTTTTTTCCATTACTTATCAGATCAACCTCCTTATCCTAATCCATAACGGTAACATGTTCTGACAATGATGATGGTGATTTGGAGGACAACAGAAAAAGGAAAGGAAAGAAAGGCAGGGAGGAGAGATCACTGTAGCAAAGTACTGTGGTCTTTCCCTTGTCAGTGGAAAAGCTGCAGCACCATCAGCATCCTCAAATAAATTTGCAGCTGTGGTAAGCTTGTATTTCATGAAAAGTTGGGCTCTTTTCAGAATCCTTTACACTGCACTTCAGTTTCAAGATGAAGATTTCGGCAGCAGTTCTAAAACATTTCCAGTTAAAAACCACTATTGCCAGCTGCACTTTTGGGTGCAATTATTTACCTTGTCTTAAACAGAACATGTGACTTTTTTTGCATATAGGGTACAAAAGAGTAAGTGATTTTTGTTTTTTTTTTTTTATTTAAAGACTTCCAGCTTATGGAAAATATAAACAAACATGTATAGAATATCAAGGAAAGAAAAATATATTTATAATATCCACAATATTAGGCTGAATATATATTCAGCACATTATTTTAATTGTGTAATTCCTAAAAACAAATACCTTAGTTCTTCCAATAATTATATTTTCTGTTTTTTTTCTAATGAGTATCTTTGAACACCCAGAGAAACCATATATATATAGCACGTACAAGGTCACACAGATTATATTGTTAGCTAACAAATGCCCTGTTGAGAAGCATTTCACTATTGCTAGAAAACCATTACACTGATTTTCCATCAAGCTGTTTCTCCTCATCTCATCACCTTTTTTGGAAGACTCCAAGTTATCACATTCTAAAAGAAGTACATCTCTAGTATGCATATACTTACAGAAAAAGCATACCAGAGATTTTATTCTTCTATGCATACACAAGAAAGAAGTGGTAGGAATATCTATCTTATTAACGTGTAAGAAAACCTTCATGTTTAAAACACACAAAGGCAAAAACTTGACTGTATCAGCCTTGACTGTCTTTAGTTATTGCTGTGTACATGGCATGAGGATAGATATCCTATCGTTGATCTTCTGCGCTCACTGGTATTGCAAACATACAGGCTAGTAACATTTACAAGAATGCTACTCCAAAATGTCAAGCATCCAGCAGCAAAGTGCAAATGTTTATAACACTGCGAACACAAGCAGATTACAGAGACATTATTGAAGAGAGTTCATTCTGGAAGGACCCTATATTTAAAAGGTTGAAGATAGAATTGAGTATTAAAAATCACATGCAATGCAGTTTCTCCATTGCCCTCATCAGAGGGCATCAGAGTCATTGTAACAGGTTATACAAACCAAATGAAGACCAGACCCTCGCTTTGAAGTAGTACCAGGTCCTACTCCCAAAGAAGAATGACCTGTAGCGTTTAACGCTTTCTGGGTAATAGCATTTAGTAAAGAACATTGCACATATGGTTTGCTGTTTAATTTTAGATGAGTAGCTTCATAATTGCTTACACCATAATAGCTAGAAATGAAAATAAATTAGAATTGCATTTGTACCATATTCCAACTGGTCAATAAACTCTGTGCAAATATTCTAAAGTGTGACCCTATCCAGTGTAATTCACCAGGCTGGAATATACAGTAAATAAATAATACACCTTCACTGTATTAAAAATATCCACATTTTTGGTTTAATCCAATATAATTCTCGATTTTCATTTATAATTTAGATAAAACTGGGTACAGGAGCTTCTGCTCTTAGGGTTTTCGTGTTTGCATTTTTGAAAACAAAGTTTATTTATAAGCCAAACAATGAAGAAATACTTACACAGTTGGTTGCATTGTGCCTGTGATTTTTCTATGTTTTAGTAAGGATGCAGATTCTATTGTCTGTATAATTAAAAACAAACAAACAAAACTACAGATTTACCCGGGAGTGTACCTGCACAGAGGTGGGCACTGGTGTAAGAGCACGGTTACAGCAGATGCAAAAATCAAATCTGAATCTGGGGATTCCCTCCCTTTTTGCACTATACAAGTCTAGAAAGAAGTTCTGCCAAGACCCTGCAGTGGAAAAAGATGTGGGATTATCCACTGCTTTCCACTCCTTGTTCAGGAAAAGGAAACATATGCCATGGTACCATTTATTCTTTATCAAACTGGATTATGACTGGATTATGACTCTTGTATTAGATGAATTCAATGTTTTGTGTGGAAAGGAAAGAAACTGAGGAACAAAAAGCAAAAGAACAAACAGGAGAGATAGGAAGAAAGTGAAGACATCAGTGTTTTGGACAGCACTTTTGGAACCCCGGGGGTGCAAAACAGAGAAGGAACCCTGGTGCTCTGGGGGAATTAATGTATTTTCTGTTTGCTGCCAAGAAGCAAACTGCAAAAGCTTCTGAATTGCATTATGAATATGGATGCCCAAAGAGCTATAGAACACTTTAGCCTGTAGAATATATAATACTGTATTGCAAAAACATATTAAAGCCATAAATTTTGATACAGTATCTGCAAGATTTGCTAATCTTGCTTACAAGTGTTCATAACACTATTCCAAAATGCAACCAGGATAGATCATAATTCATTTTAGTTTTTGTTTGTGATTTTGCCTGCTGTCTTTTATACTAACCTATTGTAATATTTTGAAATGAAAAATAAAGTACAAATTGGGTTGACTAAAATTACAATGGAAAACTGAAGAAGTTTTTGAAATATGTCATGTATGCAGTGTATACTTTTACTATTTGTTGTAACTTACAAATAAATTCCATACGACTAGTTTTCTACGGATGAAAGTTGCTCAGTGAAGACTGACATGTACCAGTCATTTTGTTAACTACTGATATGTACCACACACATTTCTTGCCCTTTTAGTAAGAACAGTGTTTAATATTAAAGCATACTTTAAAAGCATGATTTAAATATTTTTTATAAACAATTGCTAATATATGAATACATGTTTCTTTTTTTTCTTAGTTTAATGAAATACATAGCAAACTTGCAGCTAATGATTAAGAGATATGAAGAAGTACGGAGGTGACAATAACATGTGTAAGTGCAAAGTACAAACTTATTTTTTCAAAAAAAGTACTTCCATTTCACAAGCTCATCAGTTATTGAAAGAAATATGTACCTTGAAATCTCCTTTCTTCTTTCAACTTTCCAATTTTTCTTCCTTAGATATGGGTACATGCAGCAACCAGTCAGAATGGGGAAGACAGTTTTACGATGCCTCTGCAGTCCAGCAGGCAACTAGTTCCCACTAAACTTTGCCACATTCATGGACATGCGAAAAGACTCAATATATGGTTAGCAATATACTACTTTTCCTTATAACACAACTGTCAGATGAAAGGCAACATACAACAAACAAAATGGGTAAAGCATTCTGGGCTATTGGACGCAGAAAGAGGATGCAGAAGATGAAAACCGTTGGCAGTAAATTCCTTTTTCTGTGCCCTCAGGTCAACAGCCCAGAAATGCTTAAGTATAAGCAGTCACGTAAAGCCACAGAAGTACCTTACACTATGGCTTCCCTGCACGGTCCAGGAGAACCTCTGCCCCAATACCTAACAGGTTTCTGCTCACGTTCCTAAACTGATAGGACTGTGCAGATGAAAAATGTTTTCCCTAGACACTTATGCAACTGTATCAATCCAGACTTCAAAACATTTTACTATTTCTAATCTAGCTAAGACATAAGAACATCTATATTAGTTTTCTGAGTAGTTTTTCTTTAGCATCTCTGTAATACTCAATCTTCAATCTGGCAGAAACTGGGAGATTAAGCTCCGGCTTGAAATGGCAATGGGTTGAAAAAATTGTTGTTAGTCAAAGAACCTGACTCACTCCTTGTGAAAATTTTAAAGAAAAATCTGCTTGAGAGAAATTCAACCAACTTTCCACCTTTGCTATTTCTGGTGGAAAATTATACAAAGGGAAATCAAAGCACTGATTTAAAAAGTAGTGACACATATGTTCAAGAATTAAAATAAGAACCGTCAAAGAAAGCACGTGTGCGTAAATGAGGACACAAGAAGACCACTGCCAAATCCAACTGGACTATTCAGAGACAAGAATTCTTCAGGCAGTCCACTGACATCATCTCATGCGCTAGAAGGGACCAAGCTTAGAATTACGGTGCTAAGGCACAAATCATTGCTAGGTCCCCCTGGAAACACACCTAAGCTGCAATAAAACTTGAATAACTACAAGAGAAAAAAATACTATTGTAGTTACAAACCATATTCTCATTGTTAATCAACCCAGAACAAGAAGGAAGAGTAATATATTACCTAGCAACCTCAGAACTCTCCACCAACCATTTCCAGAAAGTCTCTCATAGCATATCCAAGAATTTCTAGGAAAAATCTTGTGTATGTCAAAATGTTGAAGAAAAAGAGGCAAAATAATTTCACAAAATGTGCAAACATCCTGCGTTACCACACTAACAGTCCTACTACTGTAGCTGCCTTGTCCTGTTTGATCTTCCTAAGAACATTTTGCAGACTGCAATGAGACTCTAGACTTTCATACTTCCTGAGAAGTTAACTAAGAAATGCATGCTTGCAGACTCCCTACCCTTAACTTCTTAATTTCTCTTGATTTAGGGCCCAGGATGGAAATTTAGGCTGATTTATACACCTACACTGACCTGAACAGGAGCTCTAGATAGTCATTAATTTTAATTTAAATAAAAATACATTTGTGGTACTTCTTGTATTTCTTGCAGTTTCTTAGTGTAAGCATTGACTGTCCGCAATTTACTACCTCAGCCTTCTACAACTCAGGAAACCACTGGGATTGTAGTGCAGTTTGCTACAGAGGCACTGTTTTCCCTTATTATGGAAAAGTACAGGTATGCCTCCAGTCACAGGAACGTAGTGTAGCCGGTCATTCTGTGGTTCCTGAAACACCTGCGTTTCCTAAAGCATTATTTCCTTCGTTAGATCGATATGGCAGGAAAATCCAATGTTGGCTGGTTCTGCAGAAAGTATGTTCTTCGATGAAGTTGAAGAGTGCAAAACTTCAAACAAGTCCAAGCGATCCCAAGAATACTGGGAAGCCTAGAAATGGAATGTGACAATCCCCCCCTAAAATTGAGAGCTATGTCTTGTCTAGAATATCTTAATTAGTCATTAAGATTTAAGTAATTTAATAATTTAAATCTTATTTTGAAACAACTAATTTTCTAAGCACTGGGCTTACTTGTCCAGAAATACTGAAGTCTATTCAGTATAAATCTCCAAGTCTTTCACTCTTCCCAGTTCCTGAGAAAGGAGGAAGCAAGTCTATGTTCTTAGAAAGTTCCTCTTGATGGTCTGCTGTCTCTCTGGAAGTGAGATGTCCTTTCGTACTTGGCATGAAATGATTGTGAGACCTTATACTTTCCCTTCCCCCCTTTGAACTTCGGAGGAGAACGGAAGGAGCTCATACACTTGTGAGGATAAGAAGAGCTTCCAACAGAGCTCTTTTTTTTCAGCTGACGTAAGGAGTGTTTGTGTTCTGAGAAATCCTTCATGATCTGGACCAAGGATTCACCAAACAGCTTGCCGCCTGTGTATGGTAAAGACAGCAGTTTACATTTTAGATCTAGTGATGAGGTCCAAGGACGTAGCCATATAGCTCTCCAGGCTACAGTGAGGCATGCCATATTTTTAACGGTGAGTTTAAGAGAATCCTCAGCTGCATCATGGATAAAATTAGTTGCGATTTTACATAGCCTCCGTTTCCTCTGCATGGCACCAGATGGGACCCATTTCTTTTTGAATCTGGCTCGTTCTTCCTCCAACCATATTAGTAATGCTCTAGAAGCGTAAGTGCAGTAGATAGATACTCCAAGCTGGGCTGCAACTAGCTTGAAAGATCTTTTAATTGCTTCCTCAACCTTTCTATCAGTAGGATCTTTAGGGAGAACATCCATATTAGCAGGCACTGATAGTACAGAATCACCAGTAACCAATGCTCTGTCTACCTGAGGCAAGGTCCCCCACAAAGCAGCTTTATCCACTGGTAAAGGATAGAGCTTACATAGGACTGCCGGCGCTTCATGCTTTGCCTCAGGATTAGCCCAAATCCTACACACAAGATCTTCCACTGCTGAATGGATAGGAAGTGCATTATCTACCTTGCCTTCTTCAGAGGGGATAAGCAGTTCTTCTGAAGCAGATTCAGATTTGGAAGATTTTAGCATTAACACTCTCTTTATGTGCTTGAACAGATAATTCTGATTCTCCATGTCAAATTTACGGAGAGGATCTGGTCCTTCTTGGTCTTCTGTAGGGGACTCAGATGATACCTCCCCACCTTCAGGGGACAACTCAACCTCCAAGGCCTTGTCAGCCTCAGATTTCTCCTTCCCAGAAGCTGTTTGTTCTTTTAAACTGTCCATATGGTCAGACTCAAAAGTTTGGGAACTGCTCCCAGTTGCTTCTAGAGGAACCACTGGAACTTCTGTAATTGGTACCCTGGGATGCTTTACTGAATGAGTCCTAGCCTGTGCCACAGAAGTTATACTTTGTCTGGCTGCTGTCAAAGCATCCTTTAAGACAGTAGCTAGCTCAGGCAAAATTACAGATTTCATTAATGAATTCTTTTCAGATTCAGAGAAGTGAGTAGTAGTAGAAGGTCTTACCTTCCTGTGGTAGGAGCTCTGAGTGTCTTCTGAATCTGAGCTGTAGTCTGGGGTCTGGCTGAACCAGGGCTGGAGAGAAGAATGCTGCCTTGCCTGTGAGCCACGAATTGAGTTGCAGCTGAGGGGTTGCTGGAAAGGGGATGGCTGTCCTGCCTGAGAATCTGAGCCCTCCTCCGACCCCATTATTTGTTGCTCAGAGGCATGATGTCTAGAGCCATGCCTGTACTTCCATTCGTCTGACCACTTTTCCTCTCGGCAGAGGGAAGCAGAGACAGAACTAACCCTTGTAAGCTCTGAAGACTGCCTAGCCCTCCTCCTGGTATAGGAGGTCTCTGATCTGGTGCTGGAGTATTGATCCCCTGACCTTCTGAAGAAGTTGGATCTGTCAGATCTCACAGACTTTGCTTTGGTAAACACAGGGTCTGCTTCAGGAGAATTGGCACAGCTACCTTTTCTTTTCTTTTCCTTGTCCAGTTTCTTTCCTGTCCAAGCAGACATGGACCTGAAGTGATGAAAAAAGTTCAAAATACTCGAATTCCTAGATCTTTCAAAAATTACTTTTTTATTTCAAGGGAAACCCTATACCCTTTTTCCTCAAAGAAGCACTGCATCGTGACCAGTGCCATGTGAGGCAGACAAACTGGGAACTGAGTGACTGCAGTGATGCTGGGCTGCAGAGAGGGTGCCAAGATATCTTCTGTAATCTGACTGGTTGCTGCTGCTGCCCTGTCTCTAAGGAAAAAAGAGGAAAGCCCAATATAGACATTTTAGAAAGAAGTTTTTGCATGGTAAATAGGATGAGCTCTTTCATGTGAACAAGTGTGAAAGCTTGGCATGCATCTGTCCATATTCACCAGACATGAGGTGGATAAATACATTTTAAAATAATTTAATAAAGCACTAGATTCTATAGATTAACTCAAGCCACTTAAATATGGAGACATAAATTCAAATCTTGCTACAGGTCACACATGAAAGCAGACTTGAATAGTCTTATTCTAGGCTTGAGAAAACATGTATTGAAGTCATATAATTTGTACAATTCTGTACAAAGGTCAGCTTCTGCTGCTGAAAGTTCCAAGTATCAAAAAACAGAGGAGCAATAAAGGAGAATGCAAACTGGACTGCCTAGGAAAACTTATACAGTACTTATTTACCTCTACTTCCAAACATTGCTTCACACTTCCCTTTTTATCAGCTGAATTTAATTAATCCATATGCACTTAATGCTGTAATAAAATACTATTCTAAACTCATTAACCTAAGAACAGAGTATCGTATTTTTTTAAAATCAAGGAAGAATAAACAGAAACTGCTCTTTGGCATTCAGAACTGTAAATCTATTCCAGTCAGATCAAGATGCACATTTCCCTTATATGAAGAAGCTATGGCAACAGAGTAGATCCTTCTTGTATTTTTCTATGTACATTTGTAAATGTCACATCTTCAAAATAATAAAGGGCTTTTGCAATGCTTTTGACACAGGAATGCACTATAAAATCTATTATAACACCCATGTAAAATATAATGGTATTGACATATCTAGAAAATAATAACATTATTTCCTGTACTAATCAAAAAACAACAAATAAAATGCTGCTTTTTTATTAAGCTATACTCATAATTATTATATGAACAGACTTGCCAAGGCATGCTTTTTGTGGTGCCAGGAGATTCAGCTAGGCTACATTTACAATAAAGGAAGAGAGTCAGGAATAAGAGCTGTGTTGCATGCTTTGAAGCTGCTTGCTATGTATCTTGTACTGAAATGCATGAAAGGGAGATTTGTTTTTTCTTGTAGGACATTCCTTCACCTCTGTGTAATATCACTTCCTTGTTATTGGATTAGGTGTTAGTATTAGCATTTGTTTTCCAGTCCATGTAACACAAGATTGTCTTTATTAGGCTTCAATTAGAAATGTATTTTCAAAAACCGTAATGCTAAATGTGCCCTAACTGAAAGGACACTGTATCTGGTATTTTAACTATATAAAAGATGGGTTTGTAAATAAAGATTCATCACTTTGAGACAATTGTGTTTGAATCTGGATTTCACCTTGCATTAGTGAATGGCTTATTCTAAGCTTGGATGTTTAATTTTTTTTCTAATGTGTGGTTGAAATGCTATCTATAGTTCTATACAACACTGGATACAGAATCTTTGTCAAGATGGAAAAAAGTTAGTTTTGAATTAATAACTGTGATATTATATACAGTACATGTGTGATATAAACCGTGAACATGACAAATGACATCAGTTGCTCACCTGTATTCACCAAATGTTCCATCATCTTCCTTCATAGGCTGTATTTCTGGATCAGCATGTGCATCCTCCTTTTCCTTCACTAAAATATTTGAAATAGCAATTTTTATCATGAAACTGCAACTTAAAACCTTAATTTCTCAAACTTATCACATTTGGCAGGAACGTGGTTTGAATAAAAATCATTTTTTGAACTGGGGCCTTAGGCCATTACATTTTTTCTTTTGAAGGAAAAGATCTGTTCATTAGTTATAGAATTTTATTTTCATTCAAGTACAAAATACTGTATGTCATTCTGCACTAGTAAAACTTTTTCCTTCTTTCATTTCTAGCACTAAAGAGAAAGTTTTGTTAAAAATCCTACTAAAATAATGAATAATTTACTACAAATCTGAATAATTTAGTTTTACTTATCCATGCTCTGTATTTCCTCTTGATATTCCTCTCATACTGATTGATAAAACTGAATCAGATTCACTTGTGTTCACTGTCAGTTTGTACACTTGCTGCTTTCATTTCATGCACTAAGACTCCAGGGAATTTTAAATAGTATTTTAAGAATTAGTAATACTGGAAAAAATAGGCATGGTCTGTTAATTTCTTCTTTTCTATAACATGATCAAAAGCAAAGCAAAGCAAAACCACCTACACCTACACCTAAATTTAACACAATTGTATCTCTTGCACATCCTTGTTATAGGTTTAGTCATCATTCACTGGTGGGAATAAATCCAGGCATGTAACTTGCCCCTATAAAAAAAACCCTATGTAGCACTGTCCTTTGACACAGAAACCCGCTAGCACCTCAGAAGACAGGTGTTTATAGAAGACATATATTCCTATAAGTTAAGATTGTTGACAAAGTAAAATAATATACTGACTTCTAGAATTATCTTTATGGTTCTTCCCTTTGCCTTTTCATTTCTGTCTTTCTGGCAACTACTCAAATCTTTCCCTTGTTTAGCAGATACAGTTATATAATCCAATCTTATACTCTGGTAATTTCCACACTTTATCTGTACATTGTTGGCTTATATGCTGTTATTTAAGATGATATGAATCATTCCTGACAGTATCTTCTAATTCTATAATTACAATAATGCATAACACCTTGAAATGTATCTGGCTGCTATAATTTCATAGTGAAATAATTTATTACTTTTTTTAAACCATAGGCAATCTCAAGATGACATGCTAAAATTATGAGAAAAAAGAGTTAACTTCGTGCTTTGCATTTGTCAGTATCTGTGGAACAGTACATTTGCAATGACACAAGAAATACAATTAGCTATAAACAAAGTCACTGCTATAAACAAGAGTACTGAATCTGGAAATCTTATATACAGTCAAGGTCTACCTTTATATATGTGTGTGTATATGCGTATGTATGTGTGCATAAAAAAACCCCCTTAAATCTAGTAATTCTGCAGAAGCAGAGAGAAGAAGGGCATAGCAGGGATCTCCACAAAGTAATGACAACCTTAGCATCCAACTGCCTTCTACGCTTTTACTCAAACCGTGTTTTATCCTCTTCTAGATGGTGGCTCACTCCAAGTCCTCCCTAGACTTTTCAGTTTCATCACTTTACTTGTTTCATCTTCCTAATTCTCCTTCTCTTTTCTCAGTTCTCGCCACTAAGAGTCACTTTTCTATATCCTCTGTCATCTCATTTTCTCTTTAAAAAATCTAAATATTAGGAAAAAACCTAAGATGATGTCTTCACCTGTCATTCAACTCGTATATAACACAGTGTTCCTTAATCATCTGTCTTTTCTCTGTGGGCATAGGTGATTGGGACAGATGCTTCTCTCACTTAATTTTTGCTGTCACTACAAATCTTTGCTCTCTCCATAAAACGATTAAACCATTAGATTGAGCAGAGTAGGATTCTTGTACTTAATAAGGTGATTTTATCTTCTTATAAAAATAATCTGCTATGCTAAGTTTAGCTATAAAAGATTTGCCTATGAAGAGGAAAAGTTTTAAGTGTTCACTGACACTAGTTTTCAGAAGTGCACTGATCAAAACATGCAGGAGAAATTAAAACAGAGTATGGATTTTTTTTTTTTGTTCTTTTCTAAGTGCAGCCATCTTTTTCATGTCCAAATTAGCAATATGAACTTCAAGAAGTTTGAGTTGATTTTAAATAAGCATTCCAGAGACTGGATATTTATATAATTTCCAAACCTTTGGAGTCTGTAATATAGAACACAATTGTTTCCTGAAATCAAGATTTGACTTGAAACTTAGCAATTGTACTTTCTATCGTAGGTAGGAGAGGAAAAAGAAATTATCCTTCGATGCCCAGTTGAAGTCCACTTCACAGCTGCTCTGAGATCCTATCAGGCAGTACTACTATTCTATGCAAACTGGTTGTCACCATCCTTTTCAAGAGAGCTTTAGTCTATGGATCTACTCCATAAACACAAATACAAGACTGGGGAAAGATATATGTAAGACATGTATACGCACGCATACCTGCATACATACACACATATATGCCTTTTATAATACGTACACCCAGAGGAATCAGAGTTTTGATAGAAGATGTACGTTGTATAGTTCCAATTTTAATTACCAATTATAAAATATACTTGGCCATTCCTAGGCCTAATACTAAAAAAAACCCTAAAAAGAAAAGCTCTTTTAAAGAAAAACTTACAGAAGAAAAAACAGCCTAACTGAAGGATGGTAACTTCAAATTTGGTTGCAAAAATGCAGAGGCTAAAGACGACACAAATTCTGAGGAGGAGGGTAACGTATTTGAAACAAAATAATGTATGAAGGGATTTGTCCTATGAAATGCATTTCTGGTACATTAAAGTAACACAACAGCTATGATCTGGTATATGCTTCCACACTTTCTGACCAATTAAATTCTAACTCAGCTCATTTTAGTGGGTTAAACCCATCTGGATTAGACTTCAGAAAGTGGGGGGGAAAACCAAGTATCTCAAAGAAAGCTCAAACCTCTCTAGAGAGGTAATGTAGTAATATGACCCTCCAGGAATGAAGGAGATACTTTTCTTATGCTTAAACGGATTGAGGTTTTCTACCAATAGGCAGATTGCTCCTGACAAGCCTACCACATGGTGACTGATTTACCATATACACAACGCAAATGTAAACCAGCAGCAAATGTAATTTCTCCAGTAAACCTGAGATCTGTCTTAATGGATTACCAGTAGATGATTTTTACTCTCATTGTTATATATCATACCTGGATATTTGCCACCCTTATTCCTCCTTATGAAGCAAACAATCAGTAAAATCAAGATCAGAAGAGCAACAGCACACATAAGACCAATGAACCATCCTTGAGTAGCGATGTCTACCTGCCGACTTGCCATTGCTAGAGAACAAAAGAAGAAAAATGAGATGTTTTGCTGCATTTAAGTGCTGTGCTAATTCAAATAAATAATAGCCAGTATACATCATTCATTAATAATAACGTTCACTGTGAAAATTAGTATTACAAAAACCAGTGATACTGTATTTTATGAATATTTTCATTATTTAAAATGCTTCCAAGTACATGTGCATCAAACTTGCTTTTGAGTATATAAGAATTCTGCCAACATTTAAGCTTAGCAACTACTTTGCAAAACCTGTGCACATACTACCTTGCTTTCTGCAAACCTCAAAACTATTCTCAACCATTTTACATTAATTAAACTACTGAAATGAAATTGCAAATTATAATTCACACAAACACGTCAATTGCATTCTCAACATGAATAAAAAGCCAACACTCATTAGCTAAGGCACTCCCATTAGTCTGAAATGGGGAAACAGATGGGTCATTCAAGACCCTAACATTCGATTTCAACTAAAACCAACAATGAAGTATCCTTTAAAGCCTTATTAAGCATCATGTTTTCTTCCTCTCCTCAAACCCATACCTCATCCTACAATTTATCATGATTGCCATGATTTAGCATTAGTGAGGACTTAACACAATGCAATTGGAAAGCCTTTCCTTGGCACTGTTTCTCTCCAAATGCTGACTCTAGCTGGAAGATAGTGTAAATGATAAGCAAACTACACAGGAAACACTACAGTCACTAATAAGGACAGGAATTATCTGTGCGGTCTGGGGGCCAGATCCCTCCTATTGGTCTCCAACACAGTAGGAGGATTTTCCTGGTGAAGCTTATTTTCTACTCCCCTGTTTGGAAACACACTACAGGCAACTGGCCTTTGGATTTGCTGTTGGGAGAAAGTGGGAAGGGTGAGAGGACTTAGGGATGCCTGCTACAGACAGAAAAAGACATGAAGTGGAGGAAGATGGACATCCATCCAAACCTATCTTGTTCATTCTTCACCTTCTCCTCCAGCCCCAAAACCCATGAGTTTGAAACTCTATGAAGAGTTGCCCAAAAGACCTCTCTCTATTTGGAAAGTAGAGACAAAGATCACCTTCCCACATGAATAAGGAAAGTCACATGCAAACCACTTCCTATGCATAACTCATATGGCATTTTGGTTCAGCATTTATTGTTTTTTCTGGCTTCATGAGATAAGGTATTGGATTATTCACAGCCAGTACATTACCAGGATTTTAGTAAGGATCAACAGTACTTCAGATCTCAGCTTAGTAGACACTTTGCACTAGGAGCAGATTATATTTGAGACCTTCAGTCAGTCTCTTTGTTCGGATGCTGCATGTACATCAACTCTCATGGCACAATATGTTTCATCCGTATCTGCTAGGGAAGGTCCGTAGACTTGCTTCCACTGAAGTGGAAGACGCAATGCGTGAACAGCTTTACACATAGAAATGTGAAAGTCCCAGAGCCCCATAAAGATTTCCACCTCTCCTTAGAGAAGACATGCTTTTAAGGAAAGGCTCATAAAAACACATCAGAGAGAACCTATTTTCAATGGAGCATTGACTGTTTTCTAGCCAGAATACAGGTGATACAGCATAAACACTTCTCCTTACAAAACATGCTGGATGACAACTGGGAACAGTCCTGTACTAGTGCTGTCCCTTGAAAAATACCTGGGCCTTGCTTGGCAGACAGCTAGCTGACAAGAGACTGCACTGGACTGGCAAGCACACAAACAATAAAATACAACAATATTCAATTATAGGCCAGAATTCAAGCCCATGTCTCAATGTTATTTATTAGTTAAGACAGAGGCTGAGACAGCTACCTTGGAAACATCAGCTCTCAATGGTCCCAGATTTCTGAGGGGTTTCCATGGACTGTATGAAAACTCAAAGTACCTGTGATGTCTGGAGATAGTATCTACCCTTCATTCTATACAGAAGACCAATGTGTATTCCACTTTAGAATTACAAGGCTAAAATTAACTCTTTATTTTGCTGCCCCTTTTTGATCTCACTGGGCAAAGTTATGACTTGATTTTCATTTAAATAGATCAATGAATTAATGTGTGTGGTTATTGTGGAGTTACAATTAGGAGATTTCCCAGCCTTTATTTAAGAATATGCTTTCTGAATCTTTAGAAACTGACTCTTTCTTATATGCACAATAATTTAAACTATTTTTGCATTAAAATGTCTACATGTTATATAAATATATAGCTTATATACATCTATATTTATACTTTATATGCCATATATAAATATATAAAAATAAATATATATAAGTGGCAGTCCTAAAAACCAAAATCACAAAGACAATCTTCCTCTCAATTACAAATCAAATTAACATAAAATTTTGTTTCCACATTAAGGTTAAAATTATTTTGAGTTTTGCACATCCATAATAAGGCATTAAAGGTTGTATAATACATACTGTGACAAAATGCAAAAGCACATTTAACATTCAAATGTAGTAAGAAATAGCACCAAGCAAAACAAATCATGCATAAAAATATGCAAGATATAGATGGGAAAAAAGAAAACTTACTTAGGCAGCTTTCTGTATTCTTTAACTTATTGCATATCCAGTAGGAAAGGGTTTCTAGATCTCAGTGCAACTTTAAAAATGGCACAACGTTTCCTGCTTACGCTAAGCAAATTATCTGCTTCAGGCAGAAAGACATTTACTCTTGATGAACTGCTAATGCAGGAGTCAATGCAATACACTGTACTGGTATGCTCCAAAAGATAGACCCACACACTATGAAGATACTCTATAGGAATGCTTGTCAAAGAAGAAAATGTGGCAAAAGCCTCATATACCAAATATTGCGGTTTCATTCCTAATTAAGGACATATTCCATATTCCAGTATTTTCCTCTTTGTCCACTTCATTTTTCGCAGTGTTTAAAAGCTTTGATCTAGGCTGAAGACAGTGTAACACATCATTTTTCTGTAAGAAATACACTATGTATATAATTTAATGCTGGACACTGAACCTTTCCATTTATCAAGAAGCAGAAAAGAGTGTCTTTAAATTCCCTTCCTCCTTAACTACCCAAGGATATGAGCCAAGGTGACTGATTCATTCATGGGTACGTAACAGGATTCCTCATCTACTGGCTCAGTATTTTTTGTGCAGAAAGATGCTTTTGGGAAGGTTTCCATTCAGTTTGTTTTGAATTATACTATAGTCTTGATCCTTGCTTTACTGCTGCTTTAGGCTTTGGATGTGTATTTGCATAAAACTTTATATATCTGCTTTTATACCACTAGCTGTCTCTGGCATAAATAACCTCTGTGTTTAGCCCATACATATTTGCTTGGCACTGTTATTCAGCACCGTGTTTTCAAACCTTTCCTGCAACACGATAAACTGTGAACAGAAATGGAACAAAACAAAGCAAAAAATTATGATTTCAGAAAGTGCTCACTTTCAAACTAGCATATTCATTATATACTTTGTTGTCTGATAATTATTACATATTGTTCAAGCATATTTTAATATTTAAACTACTTTCTTAAATCATAACATACTGGAGTTGGTGAGGCTACTGCTAAATAACTATGCACTGACCAAAATGCTTGGAATGAACAGAAGTGGCTACCAAATGCACAACAAATAATAACAGCTGACCAAGAACATGCTGTGATGGCAATGACATATTCAGCATAACATCAAAAAACTTCCAGTAAAGCTCTTTCTCTGAGTTAAAGGAACAAGCATTACTGATTTGCTTATGAAGAAATATGACTGAAATATCTACATAAGGAACTTAAACAGCCTTACTGATTCACAGGATATAGTTGAGACATCAAAATCTATATAAAACCAGTATATCACAGGAAAAGAAACATTTACAAGTAGGAATCTCTTGACACTCATGATTACATGAGACACCAAATTGCATCTGCACTTCTGATTATGCAAACATTTTAGCTCTGATTTTTTGCATGGAAACTGATCATATACAGATTGTTAGCTTTAAAAATGTATACTTGGCTGTATTAAAGTACGCGTTATTTAAATATAGCCATCTAATGATATTAATTAGAAACAAGTGAAGTAGGTCATCTTCAGCGCACAGCACACAGATGGAGTGTGAGCAGTAAGTATCTTGCCCCTAATACAAACAACAGACAAGTAGAGTGAATTGAAAGGATGAAAACATTCATAATCTACATAATAAATATGTTGGCATTAATTTAGGAGTTTATAAAATAATTCAACATTGCTCTAAAAAAAGAACATGCAAAGATGCTAGCTACAACATCTCTTAGCTAGAAGCAGTTCAATGTTTCAGCACCTGGTCTACCACAATTCTGACTACGATACAGAATTGGTACGGTGTGCCTCACCTGGACCTGTCTCAAACACATCCTCTGAACTCCTAAAACCAGACAGGCCCTCAGCACCAACCCGGACTTTATATGCTGTTCCTGGTGTTAAACCCTTTAACACAAAGAAGCTTCGAGAACCATTTACAATTTCTTTTTTCCAATCTTCTTTGCCTACAAAAATTTTAGGAAAACAACATATTGGAATTTTAATTTTCTTTGTATTACTGAAAGTTTCTAGGCAGAATACTATCAACAGTTACTTGACTAAACTATGGATTGGCTGAAAAAAATAACTATTCTCTCTAAAAATTATAAAATCATGTAAAATTATTACTTCAAATAATATATTGCATGCAATATATTGAAGAACATGAATTATGAAACTATTTTTAACATTTGTTCCATTGTACTAGAGAAATACTATTTTCATTTATTTTTTAAAAGGCTTATTGAATTTGCAATTATAAAATACATTAAAGTAGATTTTAATCATTTAATTAAATTACACTTCTGTAGTTTCAGTCAATATTTACTTTAGTCGAGAAGTTCTACTTTGAAATCTGAACCTATCATATCTCCTGATCATTCTGTTACATCTTTTTTTCTAATACAGTCCCAGGTGCTTCTTTGACCAACATCCCGAAAAATGCGTTTATATTCCAATTTTCAGATTGGTCATCTTTAGTCATAACTTTAGAAGGATAGATTATTTGAACAGAAGTATCTTGGTTTTATTAGCTAACTGTGTTTTAATTATTACTGGTATTATCAAAGATTAAAACCTGTTTTTATGCCAATAAAAGTACGTAAGTTGGTTGATATCTTATTTTAAGGTTTAATTTAACGAAGAATATTGTTTTGATTGGCTCTCTTATTTAATTCTTTTTTTTTTCCTGAATTGGACATAATTTAGGAAAACTGTTATATCCTATTTTAACGCAAGTAATCATATTTTTACACATGTAATCACTGCATGATAAACAACTTCATGCAAACTACATTTTTAGAAGTTCATGTTCAGAAGAATTTATAAAATAATACAAAGGAACAAAGGCTGATTTCTAGCTAAGCATCAAGTATCTGCTACACATTGATGTTCATTAAAATGAAAATTATTTGATCTTCCCGATCAAAGTAAAAAATAATTCTTCTAGACATTTAAGAGCTATCATTAACACTGCGTCAATTTACGACCACATTTACTATAAAAATCTTTGAAAATATATCTGAACACTTTAGCAAAATTTAATGAAATGACTTCTTACTGCCTGCTACACCATATTCAACATAAAAGTTCGCATGATCTGGTCCCTCATACTCCCAACTGATATTGGCATAGGTCTCAGCGGCAGCTGTGGTAACATTTCTGATCCTTGGATAAAGTGGTTGCACTGAATACACAATAGAAAAACAAAGCAGAATATGAAATTGTGACTTCATACTTTAAAAAAAAATGATTTTAAGAAGTTACTATGTTAATTTAGACCACATACAGGGAAAGTATAGTACATTTGTCATTGTTTCCACTACTGGAAATTAGTAAATAAAGTAGCATATTTGGTAATTGAATCCTAGGCAGCTACTACACTATGAAATTATAAAGTAAAATCTATGTACTCTACTAAGTATGCCCTGTATCACAAAAACTGCCCAATACTTAAAGATACCTTATCACCAAAATTCTGGAAAACATTATTTCTATTCATCTAGAAGTAAAATGCAGACAGCTGGAAAGTGAGAACATTGTCAGGGTAATGGGAAATGGTAGGAGAGAATGGAGTTACGAAGGTGGTACACACCTCCCTTTACGCCACGTGTCACTGAATGGACTGCAAATGCCTCAGCTGCAAGCCCTTATAGGATTTTTTCTCTATTGCATTGATAATGATAAAAAAGGAAGACAATACCCTTATAGAATGTTGGACGGACAGTGTGCGTGACTGGGGAGGTTGCAAAAAGGGTTTCTGAATATCCTTCACCATCAGAGATAGTAGGAAAGAAAAAATAAAGAGTAAAACCACTTTGTATCAAAAAGTAACATTTAAATAATACAGTAAAACCTTACCTGTTAAATGAATAACACATGCACACTCTAAGTTCATGCAGGATTCAATTAGTTTTACTTGTTAAAATACAAAACAGCTAAGTGATACACGTGTATTTGAAAAAAACCTGAAGTATGTGTGTACCGACACCTTCGCTTTCACAGAACATTTCTGAAACCAGCTTCATTAACGTTATGGATTCACGGCACGTTGAGACATTGGGACATTAGACATCAGATATTGGAAAGCCAATACCAAAATACTCTGGTGTGAAGGACTGGAATGCAAGAAGCTGTTCATTTTAAGGTACTGTGTCTTACTGTTGACATTCTCGTTAGACAATAGTACTTTTCACAGATACGCATAATACCCACACCTATGAAAACAAGTGCTTCTCTCTTCAGCATCCTGTAATTAGCCACTTCTTTGCTCATACCTTAATTCTTTGTTCTACAATTATACTTGTTACAAACGGACATATATTTCAATATTTTTGTTTGGCTAATAATTCTAATCGTTCTAATACTGTAATAGTGCAGATACAAAGAGGATACTCCTGAAAGGCATGAAATGAGTTTTCAATGAAAATGCCTCACTCGGTTTGCCACTGACGTTTCTATCCTGCTAAAAATATCTTTTCTGTTGGAAAAAACATCAAAAATGCTTCCCAAAGGACCATGAAACATCAGAGGTAAAAACCTAGTCTCAGTAAAGACAAATGGAAGAAGTCCAATGGCTTCACCTAAATCCAGAAATTAAAATGGGCAAAAGCCTGTTCTCAAGGTAAGAGGTGCTGCACAGATTTTATAGAATCATAGAATCATAGAA